CCAAAATGTGGTGTTTTGACTCCTCAATTCGTGAATATGTATGCTCACGTCGTGAGCTCAGTCAGATTAGGTTTCTGGCACGTGTTGCGCTCTCAAACAGCTGTATCTTCAGAAGGTCATAACTTTGCATACGAACTCCATTTTTGACATTCTTTATATCTACGCGTAGGTATTTACGAGTACTACAACACTTCTTTAGACTCCAATAACTTCTTCACGAGAAGTCAGATTTAGACATTCTCTATATTTTTGGAATCGTATGGACGTATACTTTGAGTTGTATCATAAAGTAGGTATGAAAGTTCATATTTGTATTAGAATTTATCATGAACTACATAGTAAGTTTATCACATTACTAGTTTAACAAAATCACATTACATGATTGGCATAATCACATGTGATTGTTATTGACCTATTTTGACCGGTGTTACATAATCTTTGAACTAGTACTGTCTATGCGATGTAGGCGATGATCCTTAGGAAAAGTTCTTAGGAACAAACATATAAGGAAATGCGATGTAAGGAGATGAGAGGTAAATACGATGTAGGAGATGAACCTTAGGATAAATCTTTAGGGAAGGTACTTAGGAATAAAGAAGATAATGGGGATGGGTAATTAGGTTATTTCCTTGATGATGGAACATAATAACTTTATTATTATGGGTTGAAAACCATATATACCCATCAGGTTTCCCAACCTGACCCACCCAGTCTATTTGTATCACATGTGTTGATACGAAGTTACGTTACACTGAGAGATTAAAGGAGATATAGATCACTAGTGTACATGAATGTAAGGTTTGTTTATGCTTATGTTTCTGTATTAACAATGACATCCCAAAGTTTTAATAAAAACAAAATACATTTCTTCGGAAATGCTTTGATAATATATTTATCATGTTTTTCTGGGAACAAATTCCGCAACATATTTCTTTAAAAATATACTATGATTTTTAAATAAAGCATAAACAAATCGGTATTTTCTAACCGTCAAATTAGGGATGTCACATTTGTCTTGTTTCTTTCTTCTTTATTTGATATGTATTGGTATTGCCTTGTGTATCAGTTATTTAATAGTTGCCTTTTGTTAATTATAGGCTGATTTGTAACGATCGCGTCGGCATGTAGAGCTGACAATGGGTCCATCTGGGTTGGGTTTGGGTTCAACCTATTTATTAATTGAGTTGGATATTTTAACCTAACCTAACTTTTTTATTTAAATGGATGAATATTTCCAACCCAACTCAACCTTTCAAATAAATTGGTTGTCGCCAGGTTGATATGTTTATATAATTCTTAACACAACCTATTAGATAAATAGGTTAAACCCAGGTTAACCCATTTAAAATAAAAAATAAATAAAATAACAAAAGATTACGCCATATAAATTAGTTCCAAACTTAAATAAACTTTCAAAGTATAATAAAAGTATAAAATTGTAATTCACAAAATAAAAAGAAATTGTTCAAATGACATTAAAGATATGTAATTTCGAATTGATTTTGAAGAGAGACTAATTTTGTCGGCGCAAAGAAAAAGATAGGAATTGTGGTTGCATTTTTTAAAATAAATAACAATAAAACATTACAGTTTATAATTAATACTTAGATTAATACATGGTAATATTTAAATAATTATTAAATTAAATATATATTAAAGTTAAACGAATTGGTGAACTGAAAACGGGTTGATAACTTTTACGCAGTTCAACCTATTTAATTAAATGAGTTAGGCGGGTTGACCAATTTAACCTAAATTGGTTTAAAATCTCAACACAAACCTGTTAATTTTGAGTTGGGTTCGGGTTGCTTTGGTTGGTTGTATCGATTTTTGCCGGCTCTATCGACATGGATTGCTTATGGGTTAAACAGCTGCTCTTTGTTTCTTACGTAGTGAGTTGTTATAACCGGGTGGGTATTGGGCACATTGACCGACCCTGGTACACCATTAGTATGAACACATAGATTTCTGTTCAATGAAGTTTTGTAACGTTAAATAATCTTCTCAAAGCTTGTTCCCAATAAAGCCGGGACAAATTCGATGAGTGATGCAATTTGATTCACGTATATAAGAACAATATGAATAAAATAATTTCGAAGTAACGGTTCCTTGGATCAAGGAAAATTAGTATGGTTTGTCTGTTCATCGTGTTCCTATATAAAGAGTTATAATCGCATGGTCTACTTCATCATCCATTCATCCATACAATCATCAGAGCAAAACCACACTTAAGAGCTTGAATAAAGATGATGAAGCATGAAACCGTTGTTCTGATAGTAGGAGCAGGACCTGCGGGACTTGCAACATCTGCATGTCTCAATCTTCTCTCTATTCCAAATCTCATTTTGGAAAGGGATGATTGTTATGCATCTTTATGGCAAAAGAAGGCTTACGATTGTTTGTCGCTTCACTTAGCTAAAAACTTTTGTGAACTCCCTCACATGCCATTTCCAGCTTCAGCACCCACATTTGTACCCAAATATATGTTTGTTCAATACTTGCATAAGTATGTTACTAGATTCAATGTAGATCCATTGTACAATCGTAATGTCGAGAGTGCATGGTATGACAGGGTTACAAAGAGATGGGTTGTTAAAGCCCAAAATGGGGTTTCAGGTTTTGTGGAAGAGTATGTCGGAGAGTTTCTTGTGGTAGCAACAGGTGAAAACAGTGAAGGATATATCCCTAGTGTTAATGGTTTAGATAGCTTCACAGGGTCAATCATACACTCTAGTGAATACGAAAATGGAAAGAAATTTGGATACAAAAATGTGCTTGTTGTTGGTGCTGGAAATTCTGGCATGGAAATTGCTTATGATTTGTTCAACTGGGGTGCCCAAACGTCAATTGTTGTTCGTAGCCCTGTAAGTACTCTCTTTTTTCCATGTTATCTTACGTTCATTCATCTAATATTCTCCCACTCGGTGTTTGAATATGCACTTATGATATAAATGCATTTCATGTATTTTTATTGTTGTGACAGGTACATGTGCTTCCAAAGGAGTTAGTGCAACTCGGGATGTATTTACTGAAATATTTTTCGTTTAGTTTTGTGGATAAAATTGTTTTAATGTTTAGTAAGTTGTTGTATGGAGATCTTTGTAAATATGGAATACAAAGGCCAACAAGAGGGCCATTTTATCTTAAACGAGAAACTGGAAGATCGGCCGTTATTGATGTTGGAACAGTTTCAAGGATCAAAACCGGAGACATTGAGGTAAACCTTGTTACATATCTTCTTTTAATATCAAATTTATAACAGTTTAACCAATGACTAACTTTTATGATATTTTCGTTGTGTCATAAGGTAATGAAGTCAATTGAAGAGATAAAAGGTGATCAAATCAAGTTTTCAAATGGTCAAGAGAAACGATTTGATGCCATAGTCTTTGCTACTGGTTTTAAAACCAATGTGAGGAAATGGTTTAAGGTATATATCTAATGTGATTAGAGTTATATTTACTTACGATTTTGTTTATGGTTAATCCAATTTTTTTTGGTTTTAATTAGCATGATGGAGGGTTGTTTAATGAAAAAGGAATGCCACATCTTAAGAGCCCGAATCATTGGAAAGGGGTAGATGGTCTTTACTGTGCAGGATTTTCAAGTGCTGGATTGTTCGGTATTTCAAATGATGCAAAGAATATTGCTAATGATATCTCCCAAATTGTTAAAAAGAAGTAAGCATTTATCAGGAGAACGAACCTTTAAATGTACATCTGTATTGTACAATCTACAATGTACTAATTTAATGATTTAGTACTGATCCAAATGTTTACTTTCTTTTATGACGAATATTATAGGGTAATTTTGTTGATTATGTCTTTATGGAAAGTTACGTAATTTATTTCTATATTTTTGTGAAATTTATAAAAAAAGATATGCAAATATCCTGTAATGCAAATTTTGATTTTGAATTTAAATTTTTTTGGAAACAGAGAAATATATTAAAAGTAAAAAGCATCCCGGGTAGCTAGAAACTACAATAGGGTTGAAAAACAAACAAAATACAAAGAACAAAATTAAATATGGTTTAGGCCAAACACCACCATTCAGCCCACTCATAATTAGGGGTTTTGAAATACGATCTGAAAAATCCGAAATCCGAAACAAAATTATACAATAATTTGGATATCCAAAATTCCGGATATCCGATTTTTCGGATTCAGATACAGATACTAGTTTTATAAATTTTCGGATATATCCGAAATCCAAAAAAAATGATTGTTTTTGTTTTTTATTTCTATATTTTTGCAATTATTTAAATGTATTATGTTGCTACTTATATTTTAGTTTTCAAGCGTCCATATGCCTTTCATATTTGTATAATTTGTCATACAATAAAAATCAAGCATGCTTATCTACAATTTCAGTTTGAAGTTGGTGGTTGTGTGGTTTGACTTATATAACTGGTATCGACTGTGCTCGAGCTAGGGCTTCATTTACATCGTCGTCGGCTTGCAGGTGAAGATGATACACATGTTCGCCTCTCGTCTGCATAACCGTTATTTGGCTCCAATCGCAGCGTCACTGCCTCTTTCAACCTAGAACACAGACTTCCCCTTTTTCTTCCGTTACCATTTGTTTCTCCACCGATTCTTCCTTTTTGCTATTCTAATCTTTGAATTTCCGTTGGACTCCATTGATCCTCAAATTTGAATCTTCTCTGCTTTTTTGTTCATCGTATCTTTATCTCCTCTTGAATCCATGAAACGAACAGTTCACATCTCCGGTAAACTCCACAAATTGATTCTTCCTGAACATTTGGGTTAGCGAAAGTTGAATACAAGGTTTTAGCTGATTTCCTCCTTTGATTCGAGGACACAACAATCTCCAATCAACACGCTTCGCGACGAAGAAGACGAAGAATAACAACTACTTCGGGTATATATATAACACTTTCCCTTCAGAAGAGGCTTTTGATTTTCCACAAACGAAATACACTTCGCATTCCATGTTGTCTTCTATTAAATTTCTCGATGTTCTTCGCCATATCACTATCGATTTAGGGTTCGGCCTTTATACCATTTTCGATGTTCATTTGCAGTTTGCATAGCTCTTTTTCTGGATCAGAATTAGAGCGTTCTCACAATTTCCTAATTCATGGCATAAGCGGTCGATTCTGCCATAGAAACTCGCCACCTTTCAACTCAAATGAACTCTCAACATCTTCATCTCCTAATCTCCAAAAAAAAATCTCGATTCTATCTCCTGAACAGGTATATGGATGTGGATGCAATGTTGGTTTAGCCCATGTGCAATATGGGCATTGGAACAGGGCCCAAGATTTTAAGGGCCCATTTTTTTTTTTTTTGTAGTATATGCAATTTGCATCCCAATAATCTACAAGAAGGTATTGATCATTTGAACGAAGGAACGAAACAGAAGCGGGAAGCCACATCACGATCATCGATTACTCATTACTCGATTAGTTCATTTGTTTTAAAAAAAAAAAAAAAAAGCGATCGGCAGCATAGCAATACAAGAGAAGGGTGAATCGTGAATGCAATTCACCGCTTCAGGCATTCAGCAACAGCAAGATAGCAACTCAACGGCTCAATGCCATTCAGCAAGGGTTGACGATCTATTATGAGAAATTGAGGATTATCAAGGTTGATTATCTGATTTTATCTCCTGCTAATCAACCAATTAGGTAAGATTTATGAGCAATTGAGGATTATCAAGTTTATAGTTGTCAATTGCATACTTGAATGATTCATACTTTCACAGATTATCAGTTTAATAGAATATTTAATGAATTTAATATTTTATTATTAGTTTATCTACTATAGAAATCAGTTTAATAAAATAATGAATGAATGAATTAGTTTCTAAGATTTATAGAAATCAGTTTAGTAGGTTAAATTATGAGTTTATGTTTATTGTAAAATTGTTTATTAAATTATGTTTATTGTAATTGCTTGAATGTTGAAAGTTGAAAACTTGAAACTTGAAACTAATGAACTTGTAGTGATGAAGTCTAAACAATCATCCAGTTATTAAAAACGTGTAAAGTCAAAACTAGATGAAGAAAAGAGAAAGGTTGACGTTGGTGCTATAGATAAGTTTATCCATAGACAACATACTAAAGAGTATGTTGAAAAGCACATTGAAGAGAAGAGCATGTAGTAGTAGAAGAGACAGAAGAGCATGAGCCTGTTGGAGAGTTGTTGATATATATGATCCAAGAAGGTGGGAAAAACTTATTTTTGATGAGATTAATTTTTTTGTTGAGAAAGGTCCTAAAAGAGATAACAGTATTATGTATGGTCTCTACGATAAATTTGGTAGATGATTTTATGCTTTATATACAAGAACTTTATCAAATTTGGAGAAGTGTGATAGAGAATGACTAGTATATTAGAAAGAGCTAGAAAGGGTATTTTGTTTTTGTTGTAAAGTGTTTAGAAAAGGGATTTCGAAAGGTAAATTGGATGGTGAAGGTTATGCAGATTGGCACCATGTTACCACTAGGGTTAAAGAACACAAAAATTCATTGGATCATCTTACAAATAGGAATAAGTGGTTTGACATGTGTCAAAGATTGACCTTGAACGAAACAATTGATATAGTTCAATTGAGCATTTCAAGAAAGAAAGAGATTATTGGAAACAAGTGCTTTTAAGAATTATTGTAGTAATGAACTCTCTTGCTAAACATAATTTAGCATTTTGTGGATCCAATGAAAAGTTGTATAAAAAAGGTAACTATAAATTGTATTTTTTTTTTGCTCCAGTTCCACTAAAACTCTTTTTGTTAATTATGATGACCAATTCCACTTTTTATTTGTTATATGTATTTAATAGGTAATGGAAATTTTTTGGGTGTCATTGAAATGTTGGAAAAGTTTGAGCCGGTTATCAAAGAGCATGTGCGATGGATCACAAGTGAAGGGCTTCATGTGCATTATCTTGGCCACCTAATCCAAAACGAACTAATATTTTTTCTAGCTGAAGAAATTAAAAAAGAACTTATCAAGAAGATAAAGGAAGCAAAGTACTGCTCGGTCATACTTGATTATACTCCAGAATCAAGTCACAAAGAACAGATGACTATAATAGTGAGGTATTTAAAGTTATCATATAATTTTGTTACTATTGAGGAGTCCTTTTTAGGTTTTTTGAATGTTGATGATACCTCCGAAAAAGGATTATTTGATATTACACTTGAGGTGTTAAAGTCTCTTGGTCTTCAAATTGATGATATGTGTGGTCAAGACTATGACAATGGAGCAAACATGAAAGGAAAACACCAAGGAGTACAAAAGATATTTTTAGATATAAATCCTAGAGCACTTTACACTCCTTGTGATTTCCATTCTCTTAATCTAACATTATGTGATATGGCAAACAATTGTGTTAAAGGAAAGAACTTTTTTGGATTCATCCAACGTATTTATACTATCTTTGCAAATTCTACTAAGAGGTGGGAAATTTTGAAAGATAATGTTAAAGCTTAGAGTCTTAAGTAATTGTGTCAAAGTCGTTGGGAAAGCCGAGTTGAGAGTGTAAAGGATATTAAACTGCAACTTGTGGATGCATGGGAAGCTTTGTTGGGTTTTAGTTCAAAAATAGTTTCATAAACTAGAAAACTATGGCAACAGAAGACTTTAATTTTTGAAATAATACTAACATTGTATACCCACTAAAGATCTTCTTGCAAGTTATAGAAAGATTAAAATACCAACAATAGAAAGGATGAAGAAATAACAACATTTGTAGTTCTTTGGGTACTCTTGGGAGGCTTGGAAGTTGATGAAGAATGTGGAACCCTTGAGATACCAACAATGACTCAACTTGATGTGGATGCTAGTCCATAAACTCTTAAACCCTTAAGCTTTAAGTTCATAACCAATATGAACTTAAAGAGGGCATGAAGATGCAAGTATTCTTGAAGAAAAGAAGAACAAAAGGGAGAGAGTAACATGCTCTAAGCATGTTATGGTTTTAAAAGGAAAGAAAATGAGCAACATTTCAAGAATGTAAGCCTTTTATTTATATGCATAAAGTGAAAGTATTAACCATTAGGTCTTAACACTTTAACCACATATGTCCCTATGTTATAAACATGTCTCTCATGCTTCATTTCTTTTGAATAACTAATGGAAATCCCATAACTCCTTTATCTTTATCTAATTTTCGGAATTTATAAATAAAAGGAAGAGTTAGTTTAAATTTTATAAACTCAAGTTTTATAAAATATAAACTTTGTCTTTTGAGTAAAAGACAAAAGGGTTTCTACTAGTCCAAAAAGTTGTGCATGACTTATTAATTTATACCATATGAAATAATATAATGTTACTTGCTAATAAAAATTATTATTTCCATGAAATAACTAATTTCCAATTTAATTATAAGAGTTTTATTGAATATTTATTAAAATCAATTTCTAATAAATAATGAATCATATCAAATTTTTGTTAGTATGACCCATTAGTATCATATTTTAATTAGTAATATCACTTTAATATGACTCTTGAGCTTACTAGACCTTTCAATCTCCCACGTGCGCAAGACTTATATTAGATTGATATAGACAGTGGTGAATATCTAGCAATATTTCACTGCCCCCATCAACATACAACTTTGTGCCATTTTATCAATGCCTAATTCCTAAGAAGCTCAAAGTTGTAATTAGTGTATAAGGTAAGTTTATTAGTTATCCCTTTGCTACAGACATTATGTTGAACATGAGATACGAACCGCGATCAATCTCATTGGTTGTTCAACTCTTTGTAAGGTGCCTTAGATGTCTAACTCTCAACACATAAGAGGAACAAATCCCATCTTGACTATATAAGCCTCTTGCATAGTTCACACCATACCTGAAAATGGATTTTATAACTTCCTGGTTAAGGAACAACATTTGACCATATCAAAGCATAATACTCTCTACACTTAAGTCCCACTATGTATCTTAGGTGTTAAGGATACAAAGATAGTACCTTTTTAATCAAGTATCATTCATGATAGCGATCCATTAGATGATCTTGATGTGGGTCAGTTCAATAGTAGTTCTCTGACAAGTACTTAGGAAACTTGGTTACAACCACTTACCAACTTTCATCTAGTGAAATCCAACCAATCCAATTCATATAAGTCTTACTTTATAATTACTCCCACAATTATAACCGACTATGAACTTTTAGAGTAATAACATTATTCATGGATTAAAGATGTTAATATAGAACACAACAAGTATTAATGTGATGACTATATCCCAATATATCACAACATTATCTAATATTTATTGTTATAATGTTCCAATATCCAAATACTAAATGCAAATGCAAATCCCATTTCTAGAATAATAAAGTCTTACAGCTGAAGTGTGACCATTCATACTTAGCTCAAAAGAATGACTTTATCAATGGGTCTGACAAAATTTAATTTATATGAATTTTGTGAATACTATCATCTCCATACTTAACTTTACTCTAGGTATAGTTAAATATCTTGGAGAATATGATTGGTGTTCTTTCGTGACATAGAGTCTCTTAGCTAGATTAAGTATAATCTCGAAGTCATAAAGATTTCTATATGATCCTTGAATGGCATAAATCAACATAGTTTTTCAAAGATCTCATTCGTCCAATCATATTTGAATTCAACTTCTAAAGTAGTGTATTCTTATTTTGTACTAGATTGTGTCATTATGTCTTGCTCGGACCTCATTACAACAAGACTTATCAAAATCCAATTATAATTCATAATTATTTATATATGTTTAGAAATTAACATCTTGTGTAGCTCTTTCCATAAAGATCCTTTCTAAACTAATTGTCTCATATACATTATCTTAGTTCTTCTAAAGTACTTTTAGAATGCTCTCTTAGTCATCTAATGACTTAAGCATGTATTCAATTAGTATCCTATCACATGCCTACAACATGATCAAATACGATGTCTTATGCATAAAATGGCGTAAATGATGAATTCATTTGCCAAGCAAATAGAATATAAATCATTTCATCTAGTTCAAGCCTATGAGTTATGTACTTTTGAGGCTAGCTCATAATGGTGCCATATGACAATGCCAAGAATTCTCGAAAAGAATCTTATGTCTTGATACCTTTCAAGATATTGCCAATATATGTATATGTACATGAAAATTTTAACATTCATTTTATCTATCCCTTATAGATTTTACATTCCAAGAATGTGTCTTCTCCTTCTTAAGTCTTTTATTTTAGAAACACTTTCCAAGTCATGGTGAAAACGACCTTGCTTAGTCAGAATGTGATTTCAAATGATTAAGTATGTCTTATTCATACAAGATTAGGAATTTCACTATGCTCCCACTAGTTCTTAGTAAAAACACATGTTCTATTCATTTTAATATATAAACACACCTTGTGGTTTTACATAAAATGATGATTATAACCTTTAGATGTTTACTTTATATCCACAAGTGGATATCAAGCTCTACACATTTTGTTAGGATAACTTGGATTAAAAAAAACTCCAGGCTAATCTATATAGATATCATCAAGTAGATGTCTATTAAGAAAAGTGGTCTTTCTTGAAATCTATTTACTATATCTCATATTAAGAATATGAATTTATAGTAAGAATATGTTTTGTTCAATCATGTGTTAGTCATGTGTTTCACTATTACTCCACTTTTAATCTACTTTGAACATTATATAGAAACATTTTCCAATTTCTATCCCTATTTCAGATGAAATTATATATATATATATATATATATATATATATATATATATATATATATATATATATATATATATATATATATATATTAAAAAGTTAAATAGAGAACCATTACTAATGATTATCTAAGGAACCACATATTTTTCAAGGATCTCTCTAATATGCTCCTCATGCTGCTCTCTAGATCTCGAATACACCAGAATATCGTTGATGAACACGATCACCGATCGATCCAACATAGGCTTGCACACCCAGTTCATGAGGTCCATGAATGATGCCGGTGTGTTAGTGAGTCTGAAAGGCATCACCACAAACTCGTAGTTCCCATAATGAGTCCTAAAGGCCTTCTTATGGATATCCTCCTCACAGACTCTCATCTGATGATATCCGGATCTCAAATCAATCTTGGAAAACTAAGATGCTCCCTACAACTGATCGAACAGATCGTCAATCCTTGGTAGTGGATAACGGTTCTTGATCGTTAGCTTGTTCAACTCCCGGTAAACAATACACATCCGGTGTGAACCATCCTTTTTCTTGACAAAAAGGATCGGCACTCCCCATGGTGAGCTACTCGGTCTGATAAAACCGTTCCGCAGCAGCTCCTAGAGCTGTGAGGATAACTCCTGTATCTCTGGTGGTGCAAGGCGATAAGGTGCCTTAGTGATAGGCACCGCTATCAGAACCTCGGCGATAGAACTCGGCCTTTCTCTAGCAACTCCTCGGCGATGGAGCTGTGAGCTACTCGGTCTGATAAAACCCTTCCACCTACCTTTCTGTAGCAACTCCTCCGGAAAAAACATTTAGAAACTCGCACACTATCAGAACCTCAGTGATAGAACTCGCCCTTTCTGTAGCAACTCGCGTATCCATCACATACGCCAAAAAACCCATACAACCCTGTTGTAGACTCTGTCTCGCTCTGGCAGTAGAGCAGAAGGCGAATCTAGATCTAGTACCCTCGACATACACCGTAAGCACTCCCCCACTAGGGTCTCGTATGATCACCATTTAACGCTTGCAGTCAATCACAGCTCTAAATCGACTCAACCAATCCATGCCCACTATGACACATACATCACCCATCGCGATTGGCACCAGGTCTATCGGGAACTCAACACCAAAAATCTCTAGTAGCCACCCTCGGAATACATCAGTAGGAAAAACTGCATGCTTGTCAGCTATAGAAACTCTCAGAGGTTGACTTAACGCTTCACGTAGGATACTGATGTGGCGACTAAAAGCTAAAGACACGATAGATCGACTCACACCCGAGTCAAACAACACCAAAGTAGGTACAAAACTCATAAGAAAAGTACCAGCAACAACATCAAGCATGGCACAGACCTCTTCCGCTATCAGCTGAAATGCTTTCCCACAAGCCCTCGGAGGCTCGGCCTTCCCTGGCCGGCCATCAGCAACACGTAAAGCAACAGGAGTGGTAGTCTGGGCTGATCCCTGGGTAAGCTAGGGAGACTCAGCCTTCCGATGGTCTATCTAGTTGTAGTGAAAGGAAAAAGAAAATGCCTTGGTGCAGTCCCTCGCGATATCCCCCTCCTTTCCGCATTTGTAGCAAATCTCTGCCCGGTAAGATCCCTCGTGGGTCTTTCCGCACTTGCTACAAGTGCGGCCCTTCTGGCCTCCAACTTTGAATCATCAGTCTTCACCCACTTAGCCACCGGTTGTGACTATGTCGGTATCCTATCTCTCCCCTGCTGCTCTCCCTCCTCTCTGGTCTGGATCTCGAACTCAATCTCCCTCCTCCTGGCATTAGTCTGCAACTTAG